AATAAATAAATAGATTTTGAATGTGAGAAAGCTCAAATTCGGTACCTTTATTTTCTAATGAAGAATTGGAACCAGATCAAGTAGTCAAACGTAACAATATTGTAAACATCATAAGGTGAATTTAAATACTAATATTTACTTTGGATAAACAGCAACGAACGCATTATAAATACGTTACATCAAAGCTGTAGTGCCGGTTTTTAATAATTTACATGAAAGGGATTTGAAATATAATATGCATAGATAATAAAGATTGAATTGAACAACAAGTCACTTTCGTAATTTTGTTTGTTCTCGAATATTTTTCTGACTGCACTCGATTATATTTGCCTTGAACTTCTCAAAGTATATAATTCGTTGAAATATCAGTTGAAAATGATACATGTGTTGAAAAAACAGATCCATTGATACCAAAATCAAATATCAGGTACATTTATTAGCTGAAGAAGGATTTTGATACGTTCACTCCCAGTTATGATACGTCAACTGTCAGTTTTGATGCGTCACTTGTCAGTTCTGGTGCGTAGACTGTTAGTTGAAGTTTCTCAAAATGTAACAAAATGGGTACTTGATAATTTTGAATGTCGGAAATTAATATTTTGTAACTTAAGTAACGATTGGGCTATAAACACTGGGCTAAAAAAGCATAAAAAGTCAAAAGAGGGGACGTTGATCTTCAGAAACTTTAGAGACTTCGACTTGAACAAATATTTTCTGTAACTGAGGATACTAGAAATCCTATGTGACATTTTAAAATATCTAATTCTCAAAATCCTTGTTTCATATGTGGAAAGAATTAATAGAAGGATATCTGAATGATAAAGAATATCCTACTGTGTAAGAACGTGGAGATATATGAATGTTTGGAAACTTCATTTCTGAATATTCGAAAGAGTCAAAAACTGTCATCCAGTTCGATTTGTGTGCAGAAAAACATCATAGAATGTTTCACTTCCTGCATATAGTGGTAAGGTACCGGTCGGAAGTACCTTCAATAAAGAATTTACCCATTTCTTTATAATGTCCCCTCCTTTTTATTTTTTGAACGGGTCAACTCAAAAAATGGAAATTTTGGATAATGAAATTAATGCATGAATACTTTATTTTGAAGTAAAATTGACAGATAAATGAAACTTTCAAGATGGCGACTGGGCGACATCTGGAAAAACAAAATTAAATAGAAAGGGGAGTCTTGTGACACATCATTTTGAACACAGTAACGTCAATATCTCTACAAATATTAAGTATTCTCTGCCGTATATCCAATATTGAAGCAGGTTCAGTTTCGTACACCTTTTGCTTCAAATAGCCCCATAACAAAGTCCAAAAGTGTCAAGTCTGCCTACGAGCTGTCCATTCTGTAGGACCTCCACGGCCAATCCAACCACCGGAAGAAGTATATAGTATCCAAATAGTATCTTACTTGTTTGGAGTAATGTGGTGGTGCTCCATCTTGTTGGAATACAATATTCATATCGAATTCATTAGGATTCGCTTCGACGATTTCAGTGATGAGAGGGTCAACAGTAATTTCCAGCATATTCAAATACAGTGCCCCTGTTGAATTTTGATCAATAAATAGAGGACCTACAATATGGTTTCATAATATTTCTGCTCAAACGTTAATTTTCTCTTGATATTGAATATGTGTTTCCCGGAAAACGTGAGGGTTGGTGTCATTTCAATAACGGCAATTTTGTCTGTGAACATTGCCGTTTGAAAAAAATGTACATTCGTCACTAAAACAAATATTGTGGAGATAGGTAGGATGCCTTGCAATGGTTTCCGTCATGATTTCGCAGAATTCTGTTCTTCGATCAGGGTCATCTCCAATTGATTAATGTACCATTTTAATTTTGTATGGATGATACCTATTCCTCTTCAAAATTCCCCACACAGTAGAAGGATAAACCCCATAAACATTCACGACAGAATAAGTATACTGTTCAGGATTGACTACCATCTCACCAATTATTTGCACATGTTGTTCTTCCGGAATGGGCGGATGAACTGGGGGATTTTTGTTATGTACACTACCGGTAGTTGTGAATTTGGATACAAGTTCCCTCAAATATTTTCTACAGATAGGACGATTCGGAAAAACTTCATTGAAAATCCTTTCGGTCTCGTGAAAGTTACGCGTCGCACCGTAAATAAGAATCGCTTCAATTTTTTCTTCCAATGGACGAAAATTGACCATTTTAGAGATTGTTGACGTGGTACCTTTCTACTAGTGAAACCGAAAACTAAATGAGAATTTTCTAACTGAACAATGATGTTCATTGTCGTACTGATTTTTTTGTCGTTTTTATAAACAAAAACAAACTTAACAAACCTTATGGTGTTGTTGGAATTGCCATATGACAGATAAAAAGGAATATTACTAGAAATATCGATAGAAATATCGATATGAATGTGTTTTTCTTCAGGAAATTATTAAATGTTTCACCATTTTGTAGTAGGTGAAGATATTGACTTCATGTTCTAGAGTTGTGAAGTATTCGTCAGGAGCTTCAAAATGATATGTCACAAGAACCCCCTTTCCTTTTAATTTTTTTCCCAGATGACGCCCAGTCGCCATCTTGAAAGCTTCACTTCAAAATAAAGTATCCATACATTGATTTCATTATCCCAAATTTGAAGTTATTGAGTTGACCCTTTCAAAAAATAAAGGGGGGGACATTAAAGGAATGCCCTGTATATATGATGGAATTAGATACTTGATGAAAATTCATAGCTAACGTATTCAAAAAACACTTTGCAGTAAAGACACGACTGAAGAAGCCATTGTATTGTATTGCCATTGTATGGCAAACATGTGTTGCGTTTTTGTAAAAGTCTCTCAATAAAGTGTTTTTTGAATACGTGTGACAAATTCATTTTGACTATTTCTCTAAGAACCACTGACTGATAAATTGCAAAAACCAAGTTATTGTCAATGTGGAGAAACTGATATAACTTCAAAGTTCATTGAAACAAAAAAAGGGAAGCTAATTCATCTTTTATTTGCTTTCAACATTCAAACTCGGGTGTCTTCACCAAAAACAATCGGTACTAAGCGGTAAGCATGAATTCTCTTGAGGTCTCATTTATCAAGAAATCAAGAGAAAACTTAATCTCCATTCATCAGAAATGAACGGAGGTCTGTTACTAAATCAGGTTTAAATATCAACCGCTCAAGAATGAATATTAGAGCTCAGAAGTGTTGCATTCATGATTTGATGATAGTTTCAACACAAAAGCATTCAAAGTTGCTAAGATGTGCACAGCATTTCAATATTTCAAAAATTTGTTCGGTAAGGTTCAGAAAAGCTGACTTTTCTGTTACAGTAACTCCCCCCCATGCCCCTTCCCGGGTTGAGTGCCCTGAAGTAGAAGCTTCCCCCCCAGCTATTTAGCGAGGAGAACCTACTACCCCACTCCATCCACCCCCGCTCTCCGAGCGGTCCTCAACTTACTGATGGGCACTTCAGCAAGATTGACATCTGACCTCTTTTTCTCTCTATTTGGGATATAGTAAGGCGCGTTTACGGCGGCCCTTACGCTCGCATTCATAACCAACTGTATCTGCTTCCTGGGCAGTATTATGACATGAGGACGGTTTTGATCATTAGCAACTTCACTTTCAACCCCATGTTGCTTCTGCGTCCTATGATAGGTGCCAGTCGTTGCCTGGCTTGTCTAGCTATTCCAATTCTCTGCCGTACATGAGACTGAAATGTTAATCTCCTGTCTAGGATGACCCGCAAGTATGTCGCTTTGCTGGTCCACGAAATCTCTTGTCCGTTGAAGGTGACGTTGCCTTCCGGTTGTACAAACCTGCGGGTGAACAGTATCGCCTGACTCTTGTCAGGATTTATACTGATCTTCCACAGGTTGGCCCACTCCTCTAATCTGTCTGCCTGTTGCTGCAAGTATCTTGTAACATGCACTTGGCTCGTGGATCTCGCCAGCAGGGCCGTATCGTCTGCGTAGAGCGTCAACTTGTTAAAGTTGTTCTAGCGTTTATGATATTAGTTATGGCTGCTATACCCTTGCGCGGTAGTATTTTTAGTGCCCGGTTTGTTAAGTTGTCCGGGCCTGGAGCTTGGCGAGTGGATAGACGTCTTAGTATGTCTTTCACTTCTTCGGGAGATGTCGAGGCCAGGGGTTGCGCGTTGTTCGTTCGTTGTCTCAAACTTAGTACCGTTCTTTCCACCTGTCTCTCTATTTCGTCTACTTCGATTCTCTCGATTTTCAATTGTTGGAAATCATCGACTTTATGTTGATGATAGACACTACTTTGCACCGACTAGTGGCCAAACAGCCCACAACCGGTCTGCAGGGGAGTAATTGTTTTCTGATAGTTGTTCTTTTAGATGATTTGATTTATTGCCAGTCTTCAAGTATGCCCACTGACTATATGTGAGAAGATCTCTTAGGAGTTTTGCTAACCAAGTTAGCATCATTAGAAGAAGATTAGTCAATTTGTGTTGAGATACAGTACCTTTGTTCTGCAAAACAATCATCATGTGTTAGAAATATTTCTCAAGAATACTTAACGAATTAAATAATTAACTGTCTTAAACAAATTCATTTTTAATAATATGTCACTATCACAACTAATTTATATTCAACACTTAGCAACTAACGCTTAGTTTATCTTCACTGTTCTTTGTTAAACTGCTCGATTCGCTTCCTGAATACAGACTCCATCTCTGAACGAGGAGCCGGCCTTTTATATCGGTAACGATCGTTCTAGATCTCTCTAGCGGTCTCTGTTCTCGCCTAGTATTTTTCCGGCGAGTCATGTGTTTACTGGCTGAGATATAGGCCAGGGCCGGGTTCAGATTCGTTGCAATACTCACAGTTTTTATCAGCGGTCTATATAGTTTCATTTCGTTAGAATGAAATATTAGGTCGCTATACCACGGTATATTTTACTTATGAATATCTTTATTTTCTGCTATTTCTGAAACAGAATGGGGAGAAGTTAATTATTCAGAAAAAAGAACAGAATATTTGTTTTTTAGATTTTACTAAACAACTACAAGGAAACAATAACATCATTCTTATACTAACTATCATGCTGCTTCGATTTCTTTAAAAGATCTCATGCCCATCATTGACTGTGGACCTTTAATAACTCTAATCATAAGTGCCCATCCCAGTTTTGACGGTAGATAACTGAAACAAGAAAAGAATTGTATTGTGATTCATTATCACCATTTTCCTCAAAATAATTATCATCCATCAGAGATTAAGAAGCAATAAACAAAAATAGTGAAAATTTCAGAAATGGAAAAGTACGACACGGAGAAAAAAAATTGAAAGGAATGTATCAAATACACAAGTCACTTTTGTGAATTCCGGACAAGTTGCTGACTAGGTGAAAGGGACATCTGTTCAACGAAAGATGTAAGAAATGTTAGTAAGAATAGTAAAACATGAATCCAAGATAATGCCAAAAAAGTCTTTGAAAGGTAATTATGGAAGCTTGATATTGGAAAATGCACAAACAATTATATTTATTTCTTTCTGTCCAGAAAATTAACTTTTTGGCAACGTTCGGGAAATACCCTCTTCCCGTACGTTTTTCTTTGAGGAAGTAGACTTTTTTCGGCCGAGAAGTATATATATATATACAATGACAGCGTTGTTGTCATTGTAAATATGAGAATTTTGATAGCTATGTTGAGCGAAATAGTATAGCAGCGAAATAAAAACTGACAGATTTTTGACATGTGAATTAATTGACATTTTGATTTTTGTAAGTTTGCATGGTTTTAATTCTCAATTATCGCAGTGAACTATGGAAAGCAGAAGCGATAGTGAGTTTGAAAATGTGCCTTACGGAAATTTCAATGCAGCAGCTGCTGCTACAGCACAATCATTGCGTGAAAATCAAAGTCCAGGTACGAAAACGTTTATGATTTGTTCCAGAAATCAATCAGAAAGTGAAGGAAAACGGTAGGTACTGAAAATATATCAATCTGATGAAGAACAATATTTCAGATCTGTTTTCATTTCTGCTCATACTTACTTTTTCAATGGTATCACAAAACGGGAAGATGCAGGTAAAGTGATAAATACTTCGTCTCTTTTTATAGCAGTTATTATCCGTTTGGCTACATCTTTTGGTTCCAACATTGGAAAATTTTTCGGTTTACAGCCATCAAACATACCAGTATTGATAAAATAAGGGCATATTAAAGTCATATTGATATTGTGGTGACCATGCGTCTGAAAAAGAATACATTTTTCAATACTCGAGGTCATTTTATTGAAATAGGAATGGAAAATTAATCAGCTCAATTCAAATTGAAATACTCGTTAATATGTATACAGGTTTTAACTATTGTATAATGTGAAGTAGTGAAAGGAGAATTCGTTATATCACCCAGTTCTCATTATATTCGACGAAAGTTTCCTTGTTCTGGATTATTATTCTACATAGTACCTACTAGATGACCCGGGGGATCCAATATATTGCCTTGCTGACGACAGCACACTTATCTCGTCATTCCAGTCGAATTCCAGGACATCGGCTGCGGATGCATATCTTCCCCAGCAGCAGGTTATATATCTCAATGAGATTATCTCAATCAGTGATTTCGAATTGTGAAAGTAACCAGGTAACCAGGCATCGGTTTTCTTCAGGAAGATACATGTCTCCGAACCGGATATAATGTGAGGACAGACAAACCCGCTGTCTGCTTCGATAAGTTTGTTGAGGGTTGAAATGGACACCAATATGTTTTGGCACAATCATGTCGCTGGATTGCAAAGGTTGCTTCTCAAAAGTTTGAAACACTGTTCTGAACCAGAAGACTGTACACATCTCAGCAACTTTTGATGCTTCATAAAGCTCAGATTAGACCTTGTTTGGAGTATTGTTCTGATGTATGGCGCTCCGCCCCTAAGCATAACCTGAAGCTGCTGGATTCTTTCCAGAAAAGAGACATCCGTCTGATTGGAGACGCGAACATCACTTGCAACCTTGATAGTCTGGAACATCGAAGAAAGGTTGGAGATTTGTCTCTATTCTATAGATACTTTCACGGGAAGTGTTAAAGTGACTTGGCACATTTGATTCCATGAAGAGCGGTATGTATCAGAAATACGCGACGGACTGTGGCTGCTCATCATTTTGAGGTTCAACTCAATTCACCTCGAACTCTACTGTTTGAGAAATATTTTGTGTGGAGAACGCGTTTATGTGGAATAATTACTACATTCGCACAGGCAACGCTCTAAGAGCGCCTTAAGAATTTTCCTGTAGTGCTTGTGTTTTGTTTTAAGAAACTTTTTACCGCCTGAGAATCAACACATATTTCAATAAAAGGTGAAACCAGAACCTCTGGCGTGAATTAAATTAAAAAATGAGTACTTTTCTCATTCTCCAGAAATGCAATACTCTTTTCGACGCGCACTTCACTAATCAAGTTGACGTTTTCAGGGGTTGAAGGAAACGTTTTTGTAGTGTATTTGTGCAAAGTCATCCCTATCAAACAAGATTAGAATGTTTTTCATTATAATATTCATTCCGGTTGCAATAATTCATTATTGCAACCGGAACCCAGAATCGAAGCATCACCAGACAGTTCTATGACGATCCGCTAGAGGTTTTATCAGTGTTGCTAGGTTGAAAAACGAGTACATAGCTGGACTAAACTATTCTTGAAGGACAAGTTTCAAAAAGTGGAGGCTACAACAACCCCCCTTATGAAGACGCCATCGTGGATTGAGTTTTGAGTCGATTATCGTGGTTCAACCAACCAACACTGCTGATACCTTTGGCGGCAGGCAGTGCTGGCTATTGTATGATGAATCTTTTGTCTTAGGCTCTGGTTTCAACTAGTGCCGTGAATTTTGCAGCAAAAGATAGAGGACGAATTTCGTTTGTAAGTCGATGTTAAAGCTTTGCTTTGAAATGGATCGCCCGAGAAGCTTTGTTCATCTTCGATATTCACTAGCAATATTCTGTCGGTTTTACAGATGTAGTCATTGTGGAGTGAGATGTCATCACCCTTTTTTTTCTTAAGGACAAAACACAAATACTACAGAAAAATTCTTAGGCTCTCTTAGAGCGGTGCCTGTGCGAAAGTAGTGATTCACATTGAAGTATCTCATTTTGATACTTCCAGTTGCCTGTCAAGTGAGTAATCATAAACAATTTTCCGAATTTCATAACCTCTAGAAATTTTTTTGCAAGTTTTAATTTTCATACAACTTTCTTTTCAATCAGATCTTACTTTCAGGTGAACACTGATGATGACGAAAGTCGAAAGCGCTTTGCAATAATTTTATAATTATACACTTTCATAAAAAAACCTCTTCGATTCATTCTATAGAATGGTTGCACATGATATTCGCGTCTCCAATCAGGCGGATGGCTCTTTTCTGGATAGAATCCAGCGGTTTCAGGTTATGTTTGGGAGCGGAGCTCCTCCATACATGACAACAATACTCCTAAGGTCTGATCTGAGCTTTATGAAGCATCATCCTCATCAGCTCTGTAGTCCCGAATCATCTGGATAACATAAGAAAAAAGTTGCTGAGGTACGTACAGTTTTCTGGTTCGGAACAGTATTCCAAGCTTTTGAGAAGCAGCCTTTGCAATTCCAGCGACATGATTGTACCAAGACATATTAGTGTCCATTTTAATTCCCAAAAAACTTATCGAAGCAAAAAGCGGAATTGTCCGACCAGACATTATTATATCCGATTCGGAGAAATTTATCTGCTTGGAAAAAACCGATGCCTGGGTTATTGTGGCATTGAATTTAACCTGGTTACTTCCACCCCAATTCGAAATCACTTCTAGATCCTCATTAAGATATGCAACCTCCTGATGCTTGTGAAGATGTGCCTCCGTAGCCGATGTCCTGGAATCCAATTGGAAGACAAGTGTGCTGTCGTCAGCAAAGCAATATATTGGATTCTTGTTTTTTTCCAACGAGTCGTTGATAAACAGTAAAAAGAGGGTTGAAGACAACATGGATCCTTGGGGAACACCAGCGTTGGTGGTGAAAGTATTCGAAATATCCATCGACGGCCACTTGCAGGAAACGTTCTTTCAGGAAGCTGAAGAGCCATACACAGGCTTTACCTTCAAGGACAGTTAAGCTCAGCAAAGTATTCGTAGTTTATCCTAGATGTCTGGTGATGCTTTGCTGATGCTTTAGGTATTAGGTTCCGATTTCAACTAGTTGCTTGGCAGAGAACGGTACATTGAAAGACATAGAAAGACAGAGGACGGTTCTTGTTCGACGATTGATGCCGGAGCTTAGCTTCGCAAAGGACACTCTTAGGAAGACTCCTTTATCTTTGATATTGGTGGAGTCTCCGTAAGGGGATACGTCACCGCCTCAGCATTCTTTCTTATATTTGTCTTTCAAGGACAGCTGAGTGATGCATTCCTTCGGGCTTCAGCCTAGCAATCATCGTACCTATTGAGAGTTTAAACAGCGCTGTCAGAAAAGTTTTTTCGCTTCAGTTTAAACTAGTAGCCTTACAGTCGAATATGTACAGAAATATAGAAGACAAATTCCGTTCGGCGGCCATTGTTGAAGAGTGGCTCATAACAACAATCTAATATTTTCTAATATAATGATCAAAAAATTGGTCAACACATCTTTTTCCCTCATAAGACATACTGGAGATGATATTTCAGAAGAAAAAAATCAACTCTAATTCTAAGGTACTTGCATTTCATAGTATTGCTGAATTATTTGATTTCGTTTATTGAAGGTACTTCTGGCAAGTTACTTTTGTTCTATGCCTTTCACCTAGGAAAAATGCACTATCGAATATCATTAGGGCAACATGAAAATTGCTAGAATTGAATGAAAATGTACTTTAAACATTTTCTAAATAATCGTGGAAAGCTCTCACAATCCTTTAATGAGAAATACAGAGTGATTGAAATGTATTTGTTTACACCTACAAAAGTTTTTCCTTCCGTTGCGACCTCTTAGAAAATTAAATTCTTCATATACACAGTACACTGTAAAGTATTCATTCAGTTTATGTAAAGCATATTTGATTTGAATGTGTGATTTCCAAATGATTCATAGTGAAAGTATTATCATGCCAGTTGAAACAGAATCAATAAATTGTTGAATTTGCGATAACACTATGTAGTTTGCGAAATACCGTAAGAATTCTCTGTTATCAAAACTGGTATCATCTTGCAAAACCTGAAGGTGTTTTTGTAACTCAATCACCCCTTGTAATTCTCGAGTAAAGTAAAATGCGTATAGATCCCATTTCATGTGTCAGTCTGTTATTAAACCTAGTTACTGTTTGGAAATGATGAGATTTGGTTGACAATCAGAGGTCCCATATGTTCAGCAGCTCATTGGTATAGCAGGTAAATGGTAATTATTTTTTTTCTTGTACGTTCAGAGTTCAGAGTACGTTCAGTTGAATATTTTCCATAAATATACTCCCTAATTTTTTTAAATTCCTTTATGATTTTATTTTGAAATCTTTTCGACAGTATCATTCAATTTCACAATAATACTTTAATAATTTCAATATAACTTCTTAATATTCTATGTTTTTCATTGAGTCTTCCGAATATTTCAGTCATCTTTTAATATTCGTCTTCAGTATTTTCAATAAGCATTACGTTACCAAGTGCATGCGATTTCAAGATGGAAGAGTTGCAGGTATATCTAATGAGTTCAACACTGACTCCTGTCGGAAAAAATCCAATGCTCTTGTTGGCATTTGCTAGGGGATTAGTTGTTTTCTGATAGTTGTCAGTCCTTAAGCCTATATTGTAGGTGAGTTGAGACTGACCTGAACGATTTGTTCTTTTAGATACTTTGAGTAACTACCCCTTACTTGAAGCCCTCGACAGAAGAAAAGTAGATCTGCAAACTTATGCAGATGACCTTGTCATCTTGGCAAGGTCCACGTCGGGAAGGGTAGCTTGTAATATCCTCCAAAGTACGATGAACGTTTTTACAGTTGGTGCCTGAGGGAGCAGATGTCTGTCAACCCCAGCAAAACTGTGATAATCCCCTTCACCAGAAGGAGAAAATTGGACAATCTAACGCCACTTTCTCTCAATGGTGAGGTAATTCCAATTGGAACGGAGGTGAAATATCTTGGCAACTTACCTTTAGTTCTGTGGACAAGCTCTCGTGGAATCCGACTGTAGCAAATTTTGAAGCACTGTAATCTGTACATTTATAGGTACCAATCAAGCCTGTTAAACTACCAACTGTTACTATATGTCCTTCTTTCCTCTTCATCATATCTGGTAGAAATGCCTTCACTGTCTGTAAAACAAAGTTATGATAATTAGCAGTGATCCAATATGAATCGAATAAAATATTGAACAATATCAAAATGTGAACAGTTCATGACCATATTTCAAATAGAAATCTCAACACAATGAATAAGGTGGTTATATTTTTTTCTATAACGCACATTCCTCAAGTAAAGAAAAAAAGTCCGGAACAGACTAGACTCATACTGAACCAGTTGAACTCATGAAGGTGGGTTATTGGGTAAAAGATGTTGGGCAGAAAATAAATATATGAATCTATATTACTATTGAACAAAAATGGAAGGACATATTTCCAAATCCTCGTAGAATCAAGACTATTTTTACTTTTTGTGAAAGAACGTTTTTGCTCTTCCACTTCTTCATCTTGATACAAAAAATGTGCGAATCTTCCAAAGAAAGGAAGAAAACAATCAATTTCAAAAATTACTTTTATACAAAGATGTGTAGATCATGCAGTGAAGTAACTTTCAGACACGAACCGGAAGAAAAAGTCTTTTTGAAAGAGCTATTTCCATATAAATATTGACTTACACGAAAAAAAAAATCGAAACAAATACTTTCATATGAACGCTGAATTATACGAAAAACACTTTTTTCCATTCCGTTTGTATTCCAAACATTCGTAAAGGGATCGAATGAGATTGCATTCACAGGATTCGTTCACAATATAATCAATGAAAGAAGTAGAATTTCACTTACATGGAACACTGTCATTTTCACTGCTAAACATCCGATGTTTCGCCGTAAGACACTTACCTCATCGGTTCTTCCGTAGCAAATACGGATAACATTATGCGAAAAAACATTCAAAACTTTCATGATTACGACTTCTCGTCTCGGAATGATTTGAATCCACCCATGTCATGGATGACAGTACGTAAATAACATTCATTCGCTCATTTGATTAAATCCCAGCCATATGAATCTTGTTTGAATTGAAAGGCTATATTTTGATGGGAAATTAATTTTTGGGAAAGAAAGTAGAAGGTCAAAAATTTTCTTTCAAATACCATTGTGTCTAGTTGTATGAAGATCTGTTGTCGGAGTTTAATAGAGAAATGAACAAAGGAATGTATTAGTCGCAGAATTCGTTTGATAATTTCCTTGATTCCATAATTTTTTGATTGACAAAGAGTTTCTGATCTATATTCATTTGAAAAGAATCTTTTTGGCTTCATTTCAATTCGGAATCGCTATTATGCAAATAACAAGTAATGTTGAAAGTAATGTTATAAATGTCACTGACCGTTTTCGCATAATTCTGGAGTAACACAACGTTAAATAGAAATTCAGACCAGACAAATAACAAATAAAGCCTGACTACTCAAAAACAATATGAATCAGACCGATCACCAAGCACGAAGTCATGCTCACAAATTTTGATATAGAACCGAAGACCTAAATAAAGTAGAGGATAATTGCCTTTGATTATGTCTACCTAGTTATGTAGACGAAACATCAGAGAAAAATCTGCAGACAATCCAACTCACCCGGAAAATAAATTTGATAGATATACAGTCATTTATTTCCAACGGACATACATACTCAATTACAGGAAATGCTAAATTATAGTTTATAAGCACGCAACTTAGAAGAATGATGAATAATTCATTACTATCAACTAAATTACAAATATTTGAAATGACAGCATATAAAAAAAAAGAAAGTACATATTATCATTCTGATTAATATTATTCTCTTAAAATTATGAATCGAATTCAGAAACTAAAAGAATGAACATTTTTCATGTATTCAGGAATGAAACTGTATAAATGTGACAGAACAGAAAAATATGTCTATTAAAGTTTTGACGACAGGCGATCTTCGTAGGGCTTTTATTCTGTAGTTATCATAATGAAAGGTTATGTGATATCTTCAATTCAACTGAAGAGCAAGAAAATTATTTTGAGCCAATAAATATTCACATATAACTTTTCACTTAACGATGATGCTTGGAAATATTATTCGTTAGTTCAAAGACGCAATTTAACATTTCAGAGCATTGCGGATAGTTGAATATGATGTCAGTTTCTATAAGAGAAAGCTTGAAAATCAGATATTCAATTTTTATTCTAAGAGGTTATGTTTTTTCGTGAAATCATAGTTCATGCATTAGATACACGTTTCCATAGTAATTATAAATAATGAATAATTAAACTAATCATGATCAAGGCTCTCTTATGGTAATTAGTAATTATACTAGTAACAAATTTGTTTACTTGTTATAGTTTTGAGTTTTTTAAATATGAAAGGGTACATCCTGACATATTTTGTTAGATTTAGATTGATAAACTCAACGAAGCCGCATCCTCAATTCAGTACTGGCTAGCCAGTTTATATGTAATTGTGTCTGATTCTGTAAATGTTGATATGTAATTTGCTAACTTGGCTTATTATATATTTCCTTTGATAACACTGTACTGTTAGACCGAGGCGGCTAGCCACTGACACGACTCGTTTCTAGGACTTTAATCAAAGGTTAGGTTAGGTTAGGTCCAAAGTGAGTGGGTCTATTCGACTCTCCACCGCAAACTGCTTGCCACACCCTCCGTTGCAAGGGAGTCAGCAGCCTCATTGCCTTCTATCTAGACCAGTATGGCTAGGAATCTAGACCAGAGACAATCTGTTAAGTCTTCCTATCGAGGAGAGTCGTTTTTGGCAATTTGGTATCAATTTAGACGTTGCTCGGTAGGAGCCTAGAGCTTCCAACGCCGGTTGACTGTCCGAGAATATTTTTATTGACTTGCGTATGAGGTTGGATTCTTCCAATCTCTCGGCACACAATTCAATAGCGTAAATTTTCGCTTGAAATACAGTCGAATAGGTTTCTAGGCAGGTTGATATCTCTGTACTGGGTCTGCGACTGAAAACACCTGCACCAGAACCGGGAGGTGCTTTTGATCCATCTGTGAACCAACAACTATCTGCTCTTAATATTTTCTTCTCCAGGAGGATCCAGTTCTCTCTACTGGGTAACAGTATCAATCAAGGGGTGGTATAAGATAAAGGGGGATGGCAGGTTCTCAGCAGCCTGAGTGGCAAAAACACCAACCTGTCTACCGCTTTACCCTGCGACTGGTCTAGTCTAGTGGCCGGTTGCTTTGCTTTCAGCAGCCCAACTGGTGGTCAGTGGTGGTGAGCAGATAGCAGCGCTGCTAGCGATCTAGAGTGTTGCGCGCGCACTTTGTCTCGCACACAAACCTTACATTCTTTACGTAAATCCTGAACACTTTCGATGAAAATTTTCTGCCACCGTTATGATTGGAAAGTGATTTCGTTCTCATCAGAAATGCAAACAGTTAGTACTGATTAATTTTAAGACACGTAGGATATGATATGACAAATGTGACATTAACAGTAGAAAACTCAGAGAACAAAGTTGAGCCGAAGGAGTTGAAAAAACATTCTGTAGGTAATGTGTGAAAATTAATGTTTTTTATCGTGCCGGAGACGAAGGAAAGACGTTTATCATTTGTTTTGTTATTTATTTTTGATGAGAATAACTAGTGATGTTAGATACTCATATATGGCCACCAGCATTTTTGTTTGCACTGAAAACTAAGTGAAATTTTTTGCGTCATGCTGTTTACGCTAATACTAGCGTGCCAGCCGCGGTAACTAGGATCCAGTCAAGATTGCTATTGGTCTAAGGAGCGAACTATTCGATGGGAAGTGTTACTTTCTACTCACCCAGTAATGTGCCAAAATGTTCACTTTGAATGTTTTCTCAATCATATAATCCGGAATGTCCAAGAATGTTTGACCGCAAACTATTCCAGCATTATTGATGAGAATATCAATAGGGCCAACATCTTCTTTCACCATTTTGGCATATTTATAAACTACTTCTCTATCGGTAACGTCAACAGGATATGTATGGATGAGGTGACCTTCACTTTTAGTCTTCTCTGTGAGTTCGGCCATGGCTGAAATAAATTTCCATCATACATATCATACATTCGAATGGAATTTACCTTGGAATATACTTTGGAATATAATTTGGAACCTCAAATAGGAAATAACCAGCTATACAAAAAAAAATCCGGTTGTCACTTCAAGTATTAAAATTTATGCGAATAAAATTAACAGATCGCTTCGACGATTCTTGTATCACTTCTGTGATCAATGATTTATGAATAATTTGAAGGAAAATTCTTTTTTTTGTGCACTTGTACGTTTGGATTTCGAATGGTAATAACAATCTCACATGTATTTTATAAGCTTTCAAGACATATTTGTAATTGCTTATCAGTGACATCAAGTATCTAGACTTATATTCATTCAGAGTTGTTGATGATTAGTTTTCGGTTGAATACACTCGACTGTCTTGAAGCATGAATATACTTGCTCTCTTCAATTACGTTGGAGAAATCAAGAAATATACTCGTATATAGAAAAACATTTCTTCAACGAATTGAGTGATAATCGAAATAACTAAACGGTATTATGGAAATGAAACAGTTTAGGAAAATGTTTGGCCGTTTTATGCCTTCTGAATTGACATTATGTTTGTAGACTTTTCACATATGTTTTCGCATCTCCTCAATGAGGTCTTTAAAGGGGAGATTGTCATTGAAACTCGTGGAATGTTCAAAATATTAGGTCCAAATTTTGATCAGCGATTTTTATTTTGGAACTAAGTGATCAAAAGACTTGAAATATTGACAGTGGCATATGGTGATTGTATTCTTAGTCAGAAAAATGTATAAATGGGTATATTGTTATGACAATCGAAACCAAAGTCCAATCCTCCCAATTGAATAGCCCAGGAGACCTAAGACCAAAAATAGCACGCCAAGTTAGATCAGATGTCAAGGTTTTGCTTACTGTTTTTTCTCGATCACTGTAGCGTAGTGCATCAGAAGTTCTTGTCAGATGTACGGTCAATATGGAGTATTGCTTGTTCGTGATATTTTGGCCAAAAACAACCCCGTCGTCACGCCACAGCCACTAGATTTGGCCCCCTACGACTTTCGCCTGTTCCCAAGATTGGAAAGATCTATGAAAGAACGGTGTTTTGCGACGATACAAGTGTAATATATCTGAAGGGAGGTACTTTGAAGTGGACAAAATAGAAATTGATGAAAAAATGAAAATTTTTTGGGAAACATTATTTGAATAGACAGCGTATGGTGTGTGTGAGTGAAGATATCTTATAGACTGATAGTATAGATATATTGGGCATGAAATTTTCACATATCGCGAGAAATTGATGATACTTGACGTTCACATCAAAAAAAATTGCGCATTTTTTGCATTATCACGTGTTGGTTCATACATTACCCAAATTGCAATCCTTTCACTAGAAACTAAATAATTCCAACAAATTTGACTATAACCTTTAATTCTGTTACACAATTACGAAACTTTCCAGTCTCGCTCACTTGAATATGAAAGTGTTTTGCTGATATATTCGAGAGAAAGTGCTAAACAGTGATGAACATTAAATCAAAGGTGGATGACCTTTCATAACATTCTCTGTGTAAATGAGGGAATAAATGAAACTGGTGTAACAGAAACCAGACTTGTTGTAGTAAATGTCAATATTCCTTTGATTTTCTTGTAATTATGGAATGAAGAGAATTTCGTATTGGTAGATGGTTGTAATTTAACTATAAGGTAGTTGTTATACAATGGAAAACTATTTGAATAACTTCAATTTTCTTTTGCTGTTGAAATTGATACCATCATTACCATATTATTTAGTATCAGAAAAAGACAGTTATTTCATTTCTTGTTTTATTCCTTGAGAAACAGGAAGTTATGGATTCAAATACCGGCGAATTCCGTTACATAACTGGAATGATAAAGTAGATGAACGCATTGAAATACAGACTTTTGGCATTTTAAAATTTTTTTTCAAGTAATTTTCTGTAAAACATAATACAGATGTTCAGAAGGAACTTGTAAGGATGCAGAAAACCAGCGACTAATGAAAAAAAATTTATGTGTACCACACATAAAGAAATAATATAATCGAATTTGGTTTTGAAATATAGTTATACGAGAAATCGGCCCAGGCGAAGATCTCTGGCTCACAAAGACAGGCTTGTTTGGCCATCAGTACTAGACCATGAACGGTCATAGAGATCCTTCTAGATCTACCTCCTCTCCACATTTTTCTGGAGAGGCCAGATGGACTGCTTGTAGACTTGTGCACATTGCTGATTGCACAAATCAATTCAATGCAGAGTGAGTGCAACATACTATTGGTTGACATTGGAAGTCACAGCATTCTGAAAATTACCTCTGACTTTATACCTCCAACTGTCAACTGCGAACTGTTTTATGAAGTACTGTTTTTTTCCGGTTCTGGTGCAGGTGTTTTCAGTCGCAGACGTAGGACAGATATATCAAGCTGCCTAGGAACTTAGTCAACTGTATTTCAAGCGGAAATTTACGCTATTGAACTATGTGTATGGAGATTAGAAGAATCCAACCTCATACACAAGTCAATAAAAATATTCTCGGACAGTCAAGCGGCGGAAGCTCTTGGCTCCTACATAGCAACGTCTAAATGGGTAGCAAATGGCCAAAAACAACTCTCCTCGATACAAAGACTTAACAGATTGTCTCTGGTATGGATTCTTGGCTATACTGACTTGGAAGGCAATGACAATGAGCCTGCTGACTTCCTTGCAAAGGAGGGTGCTGCAAGCAGCTTCATCCAACCTGAACCTGTTATTGGCATCGCTTAAGGCTTTGCCAAACATAGATTGAACACCTGCATGGCAAGAAGATTTATGGACTTCCGGCAGAATCTTTCAGGATTGGCTCACTCGAAGGCGTTTATTCACCCTTCGAAGCTTGATACCAAACAGTTGTTGGACTACAGTGGAAATGAACTACGATATTCAACAGGCCTTCTTACATGTCACTGTCATTTGAATCATCATATGCAGAGACTCGGACTGTCGGAAGACAGTGTGATTTGCCTCTGTTTGTAAAATGATGAAACAGCAGAGCACATACTTTGTGGCTGCCCTGCTGGGGACATCAGGTTCATAGAGTTCGGCAGAGCCGTACTCTTACCATCTGACCAGAAAGACCACTCACCATACAAACTAGTCGGCTCCGTTAAGAAGCTAGGTTTATTTGGTCGAGTATAAATAGTTGTGAGCACCAATAAACTCTTGCGGGTTGCGGTGGAGAGTCAAGATCCACTGACTTTGGTCTAAACTGAATAAAGTGATAGAGAAAATCAGTTCTGATGAAAAAGTTTCTAGTTGATAGCCGAAAAGTGACAGATCCATGCCAAAAAATATATAAACCTTTATCTCTATCTATCGATAAACTCAATTAATTTTTTGTTATACGTTTTGTTTATTACGCTTTTTTCAGAATGATGTTCAAGAACTTTGATTTCAGAGACTCTTTATCGAATGATTTTTTTGTTAAAATGCATTCTAGTTAGCAATAAAATATTATATAAAACTTGTTAATGATGAGATACCATGATTCGTGAAATTATGCAACAATGCTTATAACTAATGTATTTGAAATATTGAGAAATATTAAGGATTTCTGGAATCAGTTCAATTCAAATCGAAAAATTTTTCAGAAGATCTTTGTCTTTCTTATTATTCATGATTACATAAATAATGGGAAATTGCAATGGAACATATTCAATAAACCATCTGCATTTTGATGACAGATGATGATTTGAAATAAATGCATTCTGAACCATCTGTAATAACTACATTCTATCATGGATATTCATTTCACGAAATTACTTTTTCCCTGTCTGTTGATACACCCAGCAATAGTTTCGAATCACTTCCAGTTACAAACTGGATTCAGAACGCCGGATAAAAACAGACACTCGCAAATTCCTATCATCAGTTGTCTGGGCAATTTTAAGAAACGACTCACAATGTCTGCATTATTTTCTGATAGTGATCGGAAACATTTCGTCAGTAAGTAGAATAGATTTTCGCTTGAAAAATATTTTGCAGAATGGCCTCATATATAATGTTGAAAGCTTTTTTGTCAGTAAACTATACAAACAGCGATGAAAAAATAATTTTGTTTCATGGACGCGCGTTTATCCCTCGCGGCTGGCGCCCCAATTGGAATATTCGAAACTTTTTTCTTAGTGTACATCTACGACATAAAACGAACATACATACAGAATTTCAGTTTTCGAAAATATACCGGTACGGAGAAACAGTGATAAAAAGATAATTTTCATATGAAAACGTGCCCCTTTTAGCCCCGGGGGGCCGCACTTGGAATATTTGAACATATTTTCTTAGTGCGCACTTGAAAAACTTAAACCCTTTTGAAAATATGTCCCCCTCAATTGACTGTGAAAAAAATCCAAATAAATGTCTCGATTGTATTAAAGTAATTACCAAACATTTATCAAAACATTTTTATGTCTTAACGAATGCATTCATTTTTCTAGTATAATGTTGAATAAAATATTTGTCTGCAAAAAACAATTGGCTTTTAGGGAATTTCATCGTTCTTACCTTTTTCGTTATTGTCCCAAACAACAACTCTGGCATCCTGCCTTGCCAGTCGAAGGACCAACTCTCGTCCTAATCCTCCAGCTCCACCTGTCACCAAAACCACTTTTCCTCTGATACTCTTTTCAGGAATCAAAAATGATGGCGTCATACTCCAAACTACTGCCTCAACCATGTAATATAACGCGAGACAATTCAGGGCTATGAATTCTGCTATTTTTGCCAGGGTTTGGATCGCCATGTATCTCGTCCACTTCCAGTAGTTCTGAATAACACTGGAAATACTACGAAAACATTCTGTCAGTTCATGTTCATTGTGACAATAGAAAGTGCTTATTCAGAATAATATAATCTACTATAACTAATATATTATTATAACTGGGAAAGTTTGTGAGAATGGATAAATGTATGTATGTATGTGAGTATGTTTGTAGTTCAATTCACAATTCACAATTCACAATGGCTTTTTGTGAAATTTTGGTCCTGATATAACGATAAGTATTAAGTAAGCCATGGTGCGGGGGTAGAGGGGCCTTCTAAGCAATGAAGCGCCATCGCCGAGCTTTAGCTGTATGTTAATATAAGAGTGCCATTCAATCAATAGGTACCCACTTATACAATACTAGCTGTTCCCCGCTGTTTTACCCGCGGTATTGTGGGAACCTACCCTATGTGTTATTCTAGGTCATGATCTATCTATATACCAACTTACATTTGAATCCGTCAAGCTGTTCAAGCGTGAAAAATAAAAAAACGTAAATACATACATTACATTCATTGTATATTGTGTAAGTGAGTACATATTGATTGACTGACACTCTTATGTTAAGCTACTGAACCTAGAATCTTGAAATATGCAGGTAGGTTCTTTGTATAGGAATCAGGAATTTCTACCACCAAGGGGGAAAATAGGTGTTCAAAGATTGTATTGAATTTCGTCAGTCTTGAAGCTGGAAATCTGAAGTTTTGGATTGATAACAACATATTGTAGCTATATTGAATATGCCTATTAGAGGTATAGAGAGAACGTCAATACAGTCCTTTATCACAAGACTAGGAACATTGTCAACGCCTGCGGTGAGTTTATTTCTCAATTTTTTTGAAGCAGCCGTTTTCCACTGCTCAGGAAAGGCACAAGTTGATGAAATTAAGTTGAATATGCCTATTAGAGGTATAGAGAGAACGTCAATACAGTCCTTTATCACAAGACTAGGAACATTGTCAACGCTTGCGGTGAGTTTATTTCTCAATTTTTTTGAAGCAGTAATAATATCGATTTTAGAGAAGGCAGGGATGTTTAATGTATCTAAATCAGAATCATGAGAATTTTCACGAAGCATATTCTCGTCCGAAACCAAGTATACATTTCTGAAGTACTTGGCGAATCCATTGACAATCCCCAGGCTTATCAAATACCTCATCATCAAGTTTCATCATACCCGGTATAAGCAAATGACCTTTTTTACTGTGTATGAAAGACCAGTAAGTCGAGTTGACAGATAAAATATTATTTTTAGCTAAGTTTGTAAATTGACTATATGCTGCTTTTATTTTAGTTTTGACAGTTTTTCTCAGATCCGAGAATTGATTTTGATAAAATGCTGTTTTATATTTCTTATAGTTTTCATATGCTAATTCCTTTTTCTTTATATGGCCGATAACATCGGCGTCGAATCATGGGGGAAATTTACGTGTTTTTAATGACTTCTGTTGCAGTAGTGGACGAAACATTTGGTACTTCAGATTCCTTTCAATCACGGCCGACCAGTTCGGATTTTGCTCCCATCAATCATAACATCGGCCGTGAAGGTTCTTAAAGGAAAAATCAGTTAAAAAATATTAGTACAAAAATTGAGTAATTCGCCGAGACATAAAAAACGTCATCTATTCGTAATATGAATAAGTGCTATTGAATGAAACCGATCAGATTTCCCAAAGAGTTATTATCAATTATTGGTAGTGACTTGGAAAGATGGGATGTGCGATTAATCAGCTATTTCCCCAGAACACAATGTAAAACGGGTTTCTACGAACAGCGAGGCGAATTTTCTGAATGATAATGAGAACATTTCTTAATGAACATATGATACCACAACGTTGTGATGAAAAAGATTATTGTAAATTTCACTTTTCAAATACAATGATGAACATTGGAAAAGTTAAGCATTTGATTGGTTTTCAACGACGTTATAGTTAATTACACTAAACTTTGAATTACCTGCAATATATTAGTAATTAACATAAATACTTCTTCCACACATCAGAAAAGTACAGTATAGTGCAGTATACCGGGTGTCAACGAATCTATTAGACAAGTCATAATTTCTAGACTATTAGGAGAATTGAAATGAGATTTGGTATAGTTGAATGGTATGTGGAGAGGAATGTTTTCACATATTTTTCACTTTCCGGTCACTTCCGGTTTCAGCGGAAATGGCTCCGGTTCTGAATTTTTAAATGGAACACCCTGTATATTGTAACATTTTTGGATTTCTGAGACAATTCTGGATCAGAAACTGACATTTCCGGAAGTTTTTCAGCCTACTTGATTTTTTCAGAGTCACTTTTAAAATTGCATCTAGGTGGCCATGATCGGACGTAAACTAATCTATGGACCTCAGGTGATATCAGAAAATTGCAATAGCGGAGTTTTAGTGACTANTTTCCCCAAAAATATTCAATGCGAAACCCGTAGGGATGCCACTGTTTGTGTACATCAGAAAATGCGCCTTGAGGCATGGAACATATGTACCAAATATGCCAAAGATGTCTACAAAATTATCTCGGTTATTATTAAAAAACTGATTATTTTTGAAAACTTTGCCACCCTGTATCTCAAAAGTTAAGGCGTTTAGGACAGACATCCAAAGAAAGTTTTTTCCTTAAAATGGGTCTAAGAATTACCTCCTTAAACATTAGCATGTGTTTAAGAAACACCCTGTATAGGATACATTCTTCGGAAGATTAACTATGTTGCTGAGTATGGTGTAGTATAGATTGGTTGGAAAACGTACGCCGAAAAGAGTGTTACAGTTCTGGAGAATGGCAGATCAGATCAGTGTTAGAAACAGAGGTCGGAAATAATGAATTATTTGCAATATTTCCAAAACAGAAACTGTCAGAATAGAACACCTCACCTAAACTCACAATAATTTTTGACGAAAAAATTAAATAACTGTAACTGATGGCCATTTGTTTATCTACCATCTCAGAAACGACTCACAAAATTATTGCAGTAAAATTCACTTGAAATTCAAATACATTTTGTGACAGCTCTTTATTTAAATTTTCGAATAAAAATACCCCAGTCCTGAAAAGGTAAACACTTTTGAGTCTAGGCTGTGTCTAGTATGTGATTTGAATCTATTCCAAGTGTATCAAAAATGATTATCGAATACAGTGGCGTAGCGAAGAAAGGGGTCCGGGGACTCCGGAGCCCCCAAATTTTGAGCCATATTAAAAAATAAATCGAGCATGGAGCAGGTGAAAGAAAGAAAAGTTATCATTACTCTTGTCTACAAACATTAAATTATCATAACATTGTTGGTTTGTCTTCAAAAAGGACAAAAATATTGAACGATACGTATTGCTCTGCACTGCTGTTTCTCTAGCCTTACTCATCTATTTGAAAGAGCTTGAAGCTCTGTACACACAACAACACTATATTTAAGTTTATTTGGATGAAACACAATCACTCTGCTTCATCATGAAAGAAATAAAGACATTGTAAAATCATGAATTTGAAAAAGATTTCTTTGAAATATGAAGTTTTTTCGATTATGAAAAGTGTTGAAATTAGTTAAAAACCCTCTATTTGGAACCCTGTGACAAAATAATCGATGAAATGGTCAGAAGTGGAAATAGGAGATCAGTGCTGTAACTTGGAGCATTATTTTCTTAAATTCATTTATGTGATGTTGAACATTATTAATATATTTCTACTATTGTTCTGCACTGTTGTTTCTCTAACCTTACTCATCTATTCGAAAGAGTTTAAAGCTCTGCATAAACTACAGCAATATATTTATGTTTATTTGGGTAAAACACAATAGCTTTGCTTCATCACGAAAGAAATAAAAATATTGAAAAATTCCCTCTATTTAGTACCCTGTTTTTCAAAAATTTTCCCGGTTTGTTTTGGCTCCCCCCTCGAACGAAATTCCTGGCTACGCTACTGATCGAATATGCACTAATTTCTGATGGTATTCAATTCGATTGTGTAACAAATGAAAAAAATACTTGTCGCATACTTAATAGACCGCACTTTTTGTGCGGTCTATCATCTTCATGAATATTCATTGAGAGTATCATGAGAAATTTAACATTATATTCAGCTTCCAAGCAGTGGAACATTTTTTCTACTACCTCCTTTTCAAACTTTAACAGCAGATAGGTAATGGCTCATTTAGAATACACGTGTATTCTAATTTAATGACGACCACTACCATACTAAATTTAAAAATGTGTATTCTAATTTAATGACGACCACTTCCATAAGAAAAAAAAATACAAGGTATGTAACAGTTACTCTGATAAATATGAGCTCATGAATACCTTCAATTGTCCAAAAGCCGAAATCAGTGCATTTTCTCTCCAAATTCTCTTTAAAAACGAAATGAAAATCATATTTTCAGTAAATTCATTGTTCAACTTCTGGGTTGGTGATGAATCTAGTTATATCCGTGAATCAACAACCACTTGTTAAAATTATAGGTAAGCTGTCATTCAGTATCTCGTAAAAATTCAAAATGAGTGATAACGATCAAAAAATTTGTGCTACCCCGCCAAATATTACCGAGCAAGCAACTATTGCGATGAATAATTTGCTGCCAGCAAAATCAAGAAAAAAATACGAATAAAATTTTATGAGTTGAAGAAAGAAGAAAAACATAACTTCGTTTTCCTAAAATATTTCGAAGAAATAGCAAAAACTTTTAACAAAAGTGAACCCTAATTAAATAATTTGTAGGAAATATTGTCACCAATTTTTAAATCATTCAATTGTGTTTTGACTGACTAACTGAATGATTTTACTATCCAAAGCCATGATCCCACACAAATATATCGTATATTATTTTCTACGGTCAGTCGTAGAAAAAGTATAGTACACACCTCGCACCTCGAGGATAAGGGCAATTACGTCCACTCATGAATTATCGCACTCGTCTAACGCCTAGTGATAACAATTTTTCTCTCGTGGGTAATTGGCTTTGTATCCTACTCGGTTCATAATATAACTATTCTCGGGTCGAGTGTACCGAAAGTAAAAACAACATAATTGAGTCAACAAAAAATCAAAAATATTGATTAGTTCAACTTGACTTTTTCTTTAGAACAATGAAAAATATTCCTTCCATTCAATTTTCTTTGTGTAAATCACAATTGTTTTTGAAAAAATAACAAACCATCATATCACATTTTTTCCTCCAAAATTCATAATTAGTTTAAAATTACGGTATTTTGGTGAATTCGGTATTTCGAATTTTGGTATAAATTTACATTCACAAGTACTCAATATTTTGTTCACTCACCTGTGGACGGTATCCATTATAATCTTGGAAAATAAAAAAATTGTTGATATAATGTAACAAAAGCACGTATATTTTATAACATAACCGAGAACGTCTGATGCATATTAAGCTCTGATGGTGCTGACCTGACTGAAACTGTTCAGATGCTATGACAAGACGAAGTAGGGAGCTATGGGTAGAAAATGAGACAAAAGAAACAATTTCAGTAACGGCCGGAACAAGTTCGAATATCTTGGATCTATTTGCAATAAATCCGAAGTCGCAGCGGTCGACTATGAAATAACAGAGGTCGAATAACAGCGTGATCAGATATTTTTCAAAATACCTAGCATTTTTGTTAAGTGGTAACAACTGTTTTTGAGACACTGATTCGTTATTTCGTACGGAAAGATTTTTTTCCCAACATATGATTGACACAATTCTTCAAAATTGCAAAACATGTCCACTTATGAATCTTTTGAAATAAATGAAATGCTAATTATCAAGTGAATCTTCTACCATACATATAGGTTAAGTCCAAAGTAAGTGGGTCTATTCGACCCTCCACCGAAACCCGCAAGGGTTTAATGTGGCTTACTATACCTATAATACAATCAGTTGAGCCATTTTTGAGATTATTATGCAGAAACGCACAGAAAAAAAGATAAACTATTGTTTTGGATCTCAGTGCATTATTAAAATGAAGCCCAAATTGAATTTTATGAAATATCTTGCATATATGTTCATTCGAATCATTGAAGTCCCCAGAAACATATCGATTTTGCAGGTTTTTTGAAGTTAAAAAAATGAAATAAATAAAAATTAAAAGATTTCAAACCAAGTTATGCCACAACGTTTCGATTGTTAGTATCCACAATCGTCTTCGTCACCCGTCATCTTTTGTTAATAATATTATTGATATTTCAATTTTTATTTGTTTGGTTGTTGTATGTTATTTCTTTGTAATTTCAGTTTTTGTTTGATAAAATTGTTGTTTCTTATTTCTTTATTGTTTTTTAATTTTCGTTCATTGAACGAAATAAGGATAGGTGATAGCATAAGTGGTTAATGATTAGAATTCATTTGTAATTATTGTTATGAAGACGGTTGATTGCGTTACTCAAATGACAAGATCAGAACCTGAATTCTGCCTTTTGACAAAAATGTAGGATATCATTTAAGAACTGCCTGTTTTTTTCTTTTTATTACATCTACTACATGTTGTACTGCATTTTGTCAATAAAAGCAATTATTATTATTATTATTATGTTCGGTTAATCTTTTTGTTTTTTTTTAGAGTTATCAAATCAATTTATATTATATTAGACAATGGGAATCCGAACTGATGAAAATGGTTCATTTTGTTCAGACAGCAGGTATTCGTGTGTGAGCTTGGTGTGTTCTTGGCGGAGTCTGGTCATTGTCACTTGTTCTCTTCTTTTCGTTAAATGATTTTGCCACGGTCCTACCTTTGGTTTGACTTCTTGTAGTTTCGATTGTGAGGCCTGCCAATCACTATTCCAAACGTTCTTCATCTTGTTTTTGATGTAGGATTTTATGTCTATCGAAGGAGTGTATTGCAGCGCAGCCTGGTTCGGGTTATTGATTGCTTCTCGAGAACTTTTATCGACCGATTCATTTCCAGTTATTCCTATATGTGAAGGAACCCATAGTAATATTATTTCTTTGTTCAATGATTGGATGATAAAAAGTTCTCTTTTAATCAGTCTTCCTATTGGATGGTTTACGTATATTCGACGAAGAGAGCTTAATGAATCTGATATAACCAGGAACCTTTTAGATAGGCTAGATTTTGCGAATCGTAGCGCTTGCAGGATTGCGAAGAGTTCCCCTGTGAGAATCGTATTGGTTTCCGGTAGTTTATAGGTTAGGAGAGTATCAGGTGTAACAACTGCTGCTGATACTCCAGAATATATTTTGGATGCATCTGTGTGAATTTCCATGAATTCTTCATGATGTAGGATTTCACGGAAGTTCTGGATTATAATTTGTGTGTTTGTGTTATTTTTATTGAATTGGGATAGGTGGGTGTTAATGATTGGTTGGTGTATCTGCCAGGCGGGAGGGGTGTTTAGGTTCATGGGGTAGAGAGGGGGGAATATCTGCATTTGAAGTGGCCTCATGTACCTTCGAATTCTCCCATAGAAAGGTAGGTCGGTTCTTGGTTGTTCGGTTGTTCGTATGCTAATAGAAAGCGTATTGTTATTATGTTTCTATATGTTGGAACGTTGTCGAGTGGAGCTATTCTAGCCGCTTAGGATATGCTTGATTGTTGTCTTCTAAGTTGTAGGGATGGTTCTCCGATTTCACATTCCAAACTTGCAATGGGAGTGGTTCTGTAAGCTTCTAGGATAGTAGAAATACACGAAAAAAAAATTCTTTCAAAACACTGAATTATACAGAAAACACTTTTATCTACTTGGTTTCTAGTCCAAACATTCGTTATGGAATTAAATCAGATATCATTCACAGGGTTTCTACACAATATATTAAATGAAAATAATTTCATGGAACACTGTCATGCTAACTGGTAGACATCGATGTTTCGCCGTAAGACACTTGAAAAAACATTTTTTTTCTTTGCACGATCTACACATCTATGTACACAGTTACTCCTTTCAAAGTTGATTACTTAATAATATTGTTCAAATATTGTGTAATACATATTCTTACGGTATAGAGTTGTCTCATCTACAGGAAGCATCGGCCAATAAAGAAGAGAGAGAGAGAGAGAGTTGTCTCATGTCCATTACCTGTATTTCAGAGTGAAGGGAATCAGTAGAATATCTTAGAACTTTCTGTAGAATCATTTTGAGGAATCTTCTTTGAGAAACTTCTATCAAATTCAGGTAAGTTCGTGATACACCTCCCCACGCTATGATTCCATAATTCAAATGAGTTTCTACTAAACTTTTGTACACAATTTTTTTTTGTTTGAGGTCTAGATAAGATATGAATTGTTTAAATCTGAATAATAGAAAACGCAATTTTTTCACAAGATATGATATATGCTCATTCCATCTCAAATGTGAATCTGAAAATATACCTGAATATTTTATTATTTAACTTGTTCAATTTTCAAATCTTATTGAATGGTCAAGTTATAGTGGGGAAGAGAAGTTTCAAGACTACTGAACGGTAGGAAATGTGTTTTTTCAATGTTCAACGAGAGGAGTCTACTGTCGAACCTTTTTTTTTTTAATTTTCAAGTCATCTTCTGCTTTGTTTTTTAGATCATACCAATTTTCAGACATGTAAACTATCACAGTATCATCCTGTAGAAAGAGGTTATCCATATATATTGTAAATACCACAGGCCCTGGTATCGTCCCTTGAGGTACTCCGCACGTTATTATTTCTTTGGTGCTTGTTATATTTCCAATTTTCACTTTTTGTTTTCTGTTACTCAAATAACTTTTGAATAAATTGTAGGCTGCACCTCTGATGCCATTGTCATGCAGAGTATCCAAAAGTATCCCATGGTCAACGGTATCGAATGCCTTTGATAAATCTGAAAAGACTTCTATGGATGGTTTTCCCCGGTCCAGACATTCATAGACAGTATTTGTTAGTGCGTGAATTGCGTCCTGTGTGTACTTATGTTTCCTAAAACCGTACTGTGAAGCAGACAGGATGTGGTATTTGTTAAGAAATTCATTTAGTATCTGTTTAATGATTTTTTCTATTATTTTACTTGAAGATGTTATGAGCGAGATTGGTCTGTAATTTATAATATTTGTTCTATCCCCTCCTTTATGCACGGGTGTGACAACTGGTAGCTTGAAAGCGTCAGGGAAATGACCAACTTCGAAAGATTTATTTATTATATAAGTCAGAGAAGAACTTATATACTTTGAAATAATTTTTAGAGTTTCCGCTTTTATGCCATCGTATCCGGGAGATTTTCTATTTTTCAAGTCATTTATAGAATTTATTACTTCACTCTCAGAAGTCGGTGAGAAGAAGATAGAATTTAGAATTTTTTTTATCAATATAGCTTTTGTCTCTATTGATTTTTTTTGCCAAATGTCTACCAACGCTTTGGAAATGGTTGTTGAATATTTCTGCTATTTCTGCTGGATTACTGATACATTTGCCAGTTTTATTTTTGATTTCGTTCATTTTGCCATAGCCAGAGATTTTCAATACTTTGTTCAGTGTTTGCCAGAGTTTTTTTGAAATATTTTGTTCTTATTCAATGAAAGTCATTTTTTGTGGAGGAAAAATCAGTTTTTTATCGACCTTTTTTGGGTATTTGTTACCTTCCACAATCTGAAAAAATATAAAAATTATAAAAATATATTCGCAGTTATTCCTTTTTTGATAGATTATTTTTTTACTTCTTCGACAGATGTCAAAGAAGTTTTGAAATATGAAATTATGTCAATGTTGTTGATTGACAACTGAAACATTCGATGTAATATAAGGTACTCTCCGATATCAGTTTGTTGCCATTTCGCCACTATCCAAAGTTTTCTTCAAGATGGGTAGCCAAGTACGGTCTATTTCTAAGGAACTATTCGAGATACAATTCTCTCTATGCGATTTCTGTAATAGTTTTTTTGTTGCCTGCTCAATACAGTATTCTACTTCTTATTTCTTTTCTATGTATTCAATTTTTAATGTTTCATCATATGGATTTCTCTTCCATTTATAATACATATTATTCTTTGCATTGATTGACTTTATTATAGATTTTGTAATCCATTTCTTTCTTCGTTGTTCTTTGTTTTTTATTTTAATTTTTTTGGTTGATTTTTAAATACAATTATTTATTACATCAAATTTATTTGTTACAGAATCGAGATCTAAATGGGGACAGATAACTTCATTCCTGTTTACTTTTCGATTCAATTTTGTCACTTATTACGATCTGGAGTTATATTTATGATGATCAGTTATGGCCGTGTCTACTGTAATAGGAGGTAGTATCATGTCATATTTATTGTTTTTAGAGTTAATAAAAATATGGTCTAGGCATGACTTTGATTTTTTTTCACTCTAGTTGGGGAATTAATTGCTCAATGAAAACCGTATTCGCCTATGAGGTTCAAGTAATTTCATAATGCCTCATTTTCTATTAATAAATCAATATTTATATCTCCTACAAATATGCTATAATTACAGTCTCCTTTTCCCGTACTCAATATATTATTTACTTTCTTCAGAAAATTATCAACATCACTCGCAGAGGATCCGCAGAAAGCATATATGATAATTACATCATCTTCACATTTAACTTTTGTTTTGATTAAAAAACTTCCATTTATCGAAATAAGATCATGAGACTGGTACATATGTGATTTAATGAACATGATCACGCCATCGTTTTGATTTAAACTACCCTGACTATAGAGAGTGGTGTGACCTTCAATATCATATACCGATGCATCAGGAATTTGCCAAGTTTCTGTTAAAGTTTTTTGGAAGATCCCACATTTTTCTGTATCAAGATGGAGTAGTAGAAAGCCAAAAACTTTCTTTCCCAAAAGTTAGTCACTCCTAAAAATATAACCCTTTCAAATTGAACAGGATTCCTTTTGGCTGGGATTTGATCAGATAAGTGAATGAATGTCATTACGATGTCATCGAAGACATAAGCAGATCAAACTTATCCCTTGACATAAAAAAATCGTAATTTATGAATGAAATGTGTGTTTTTTCTCATAATGTTATCCAGATTGACACTGAAGGCAAGTGTCTTACGGCGAAACATCGATGTTTACCAGTGACTGAAATTTTTATTTTCATTTAGTATATTGTGTAGGAACCCTGTGAATGATATCTGATTAAATTTCATAACGAATGTTTGGAATAATTTTTGGGATATTTGCCAGAAACCAAACCCCATTTTTCAGTTAATTGTTTACAACTATTGCAATTTTCAAAAACGGCACTTGAATGTTTTCAAAAATCATCTACACGCTTTTCCGAATCAAATAACACCTCGGTCATATATTTTGGAGGCGAAAAAAAAGTTTGAGCTGAGAGGCACTTCTGATCTAGAGTAGTAGAAGTGGCAAATTATAAGAAAAAGAAAGAAAAATTAAAGACAAAATTATTGTGAAATGAGTCTGAATTATAGTGTCGAGCTGCATTATTAGACTTAATAATATTGGTAAATTCAACCGATGTAATATTACTGACGTTGGCGATATAAATAGTAGTAGTGAAGAGTAGAGGAGAGTGGTGTGGATATAGTGAATGGTGCATAAAAGAGCAAATTAGTACAACGAAATGATGCAAATGCAGATATAATATGAATTTTGAAGGTATTGAACTATAAAAACAAGAATAAAAAAAGGCGGAATGAAAAGATGATCAAGGGATATTCAAAACACGAAAATATGGATGAGAAACATCAATACTTTTGTATTTTCTGGAAATGAATGCTCTTGAGAACTGTAATTGAAATAATAATATCAGTCAGCGATAGCTGATTAACGGAAAAACAGATTTTGAACATATTTTTTTAAACAGAATAAACCCAAATTAGACTTTGTATTAGTCACTCAGGAGAATGCATCTTGTATTGATGTGTCGAAACCAGACTATCCGCTATTAGAGGAGGACATTAATCATCCTGCTTTGTATGTTGAAATATTCGCCACAGATGACATCACTAGAAAAACTAGATCAGCGGCGCCGAGGTTCCGAATATTTTGAATCTTTGTATATTGCAAGAAAACAGCCTAATACAACGTTGACTTCGTTAGTGAAGAAACATCCTATTTCAGGAACTGACTATTTAAAAGCATTGAGAAGGTGTTCTGGCGACACCGTGCATATGTGATGTTTTTCATCTTTGGTAACCAGTTGTTGTCCAACTTTGCAGTTGGCTGTACCGCGCTGATGAGGCCAATAGTCATAAACACGTGTCCGCTGTTTGCCCCATTTATACAGGCTGATTCACGGTGGATGGCACATTACACGTTTCTGGTGAACCAGACAACGGATCACTTTGAAAATTTAATGGAGGGCATATTCGGACATTCTCTAGCCAACTAAAATATTTTCGACAATGCGGTGTTGCCGCTTCTATTAGAAAGCAGTAGCAACTTTGATTTTTCAAATGGAACACTCTGTATATAATATTATTTTTGGAATCTCCAACAATTGCCCGACAACTTTTCTTGATATTTCCCTATACCTATCTGTTACCGTTTTCGAAATAAAAATTAATTT